ACGTAGAACATTACGTATAATATTACGTATAATATTACGTAGATCCAGGAGGTGACCGGGACATGATTTTAGGCCTGACCGGGACCGGGACCGGGACCGGGATACAAAATGTGACTTGACCGGGACCGGGACCGGGACCGGGACCGGGACTGAGATTATCAATTTACCGTGACCGGGACCGGGACCGGGACCAATAATTTCTGGGATTTCTATCTTACCGGGACCGGGACCAACAATCCAATTTTACCGGGATGACCGGGATGACCGGGATTTGACCGGGATGACCGGGATTTGACCGGGATGACCGGGATTTGACCGGGATGACTGGGATGACAGGGATGACCGGGACCAAAACTGGTATTCTCATATTGAAAGCTGCAACTTTCATTTACATTATAATTGAAAAAAAAAACCGTCAATATTGGGCATGGGCCTAATGTACTACACCAATAATGTTCATGTACTGATTACTCAAGTTCATCCTCATTCCTCATTCCTCGATCAATGATCCCTCAAATTATTCAACAGTTTCATTCTCCAATTCCAATTGACAATTGGGCGTAGCCCGAGTTGAAAACTTGATGTTAGTTTGCACTTATGAGTTTAGAGTTATGTAACGATATTAGTTACCTACCTAAACTAGTAAACTTGTTTAGCAATTTTAAACATTGTTTTATTTGGCTCAGAGGTTGTTTAAAGATGAAATTCACAATGAATGAAAGTAAAAACTTAAAATCACAGTGAATGAAATTATGTAAAAGATCCCGGTCAAAATCCCGGCAAATTTGAGTGATTGACCGGGACCGGGACCGGGACTGGGACCAAGAATCCTGAATTAACCGGGACCGGGACCGGAATCATAAATCAGCATTTGACCGGGACCGGGACCGCGACGAAAAATTTGACTTGACCCGGTTGACCGGCACCGGCACCGGGACCGGGATAGCTGAAAATTGCCAATCCCGGTACCGGGATTCCCGGTACCGGGAATCCCGGTCACCTCCTGCGTAGATCCTCAGAGTATTATACAGATTTGCATTGACTTCTTCTATTGTAATCTTCTTGTCGTTTTGTCCTTAATTGTGCATATTATAGTCATTCCCATAGATCATACTTTTTCTGTGAGTTTTCAGTACAAATCTGGTCTATCCGACCATTTCGATATTGACATTTGGAAGAATTTAATCAGTGGATCAGGCAGAGGTCGAGTGTTATCGGGATTACTTCTGTAGTAGTTGTACAGCAAGTAGTCCCATTACCTTAGTATCGCTGTACAAATACTACAATCAGAGATTGTTGATATAGGATGTATTTTCGAGTGCTTATCATCGTTTTTTTATGGAACAAAAATACAGGATGTAGAGAGTAGACGCTCGCAGAAGAGGCTGAGAAAAGATTTGATCTCATAAATGATTTTGGCAACAGTGATGTACCCCTGTACCCCATCCTGGAAAAGTAAGGAAACTGGACCATTCAAAAATACGAAACTATATTCGTGAGCCCCGACCACTGTCCTGAAGAAACAGTCTTGAGTTGAGCAGCGAGATAACATCAAGTACTTTAAAATTAAGCGACTAATCAAGCGACTAATTAAGCGACTAATTAAGCGAATAATTAAGCGACTAATTAAGCGACTAATAAAACCTTCATAAAAGAAATTATGTATCAGTTCATTTGTATTGGTCGCTATAGTCTGGTAATGATATTACAAAACTATAGCAATCAATACAAGTAAAGAACATGACTGATGACATCGTCGTACGATCGTGAGTTTTCAATCATTTCGCTACATTAAGCTCATTATTTACATTCATCCGAACTGTACATAAACCTCAGTCCCCTGCCGAATTTTGATATGTAAAATATCATCTTAGGGCCGTATTTACCAACCTTTATGTCATACTTAAACAGCAGTTTAAGGATGAGGTTGCACTTAAAAATGAGTTTAAGTGGCAACTCTACAAATGGTATTCACGAAATTCTCTATTAAGTGTCACCCTTAGTTGCTCAACTTGATATCCCAAGTCACCAGTCATCTTTTAGTACCTTATAAACCCCTTTTAAGGGGGCATACCCCAAATCTGTCCAGACCAAATGACCTCATAGGCAGTTCAGTGACCTTCTAGCGCACCGTTTCCACACCAAAAAAAATTATTTTGAGAATTCCCAATTTTGTAATCAAGCATTTCCTGGTTAAGAGTGCAATTTTCGGAAAAAATTATTTTGTGGTTGAGACGCTATAAGTTAATTATTTCTTGCGGTATCGGGTTGAAATTTTGCTCGCCGTTTATTCACATCTATGTCAAGGTGTGTGTAAAATCTTGATATCGTATCTAAAAAGGCTGGTGTGTTACGAATTTTTAAAGTCAAAAAGCTAAAATTGTCCTTTTCAGGCTTATTTTAACAAAAAGTCAGTCAGGGAAGATCGGATTATTTGATGCTTGACATCAAATTGTTCTCTGAATTCTGGCGCAGTTTTTGATGCCCTCAAAAATTTTTTTACTCATTCACCTTCTGATCTATTGGACCTCAAAGCCAAACAACAAATTTAGGCACATTTTTCGTTTTTAATATTTACTGATTTTTCTAAAATTTTGATAGGAATGTGCTAGTGACTTTTTGAAGGGTGAAAAATAACCGCAACTAGCACATTTACATATAAGTTATGAACAACAAAACACCCTAAAATGCTTCCCTTTGTAGTTAAGGGAGAAAATGTGATTTTTTATCTGCAAAGCCAAAAAATCACATTTTCTCCCATAACTTCAAAGGGAAGTATTTTAGGGTGTTTTGTTGTTCATAACTTATATGTAAATGTGCTAGTTGCGGTTATTTTGCACCCTTCAAAAAGTCATTAGCACATTCCTATCAAAATTTTAGAAAAATCAGTAAATATTAAAAACGAAAAATGTGCCTAAATTTGTTGTTTGGCTTTGAGGTCCAATAGATCAGAAGGTGAATGAGTAAAAACATTTTTGAGGGCATCAAAAACTGCGCCAGAATTCAGAGAACAATTTGATGTCAAGCATCAAATAATCCGATCTTCCCTGACTGACTTTTTGTTAAAATAAGCCTGAAAAGGACAATTTTAGCTTTTTGACTTTAAAAATTCGTAACACACCAGCCTTTTTAGATACGATATCAAGATTTTACACACACCTTGACATAGATGTGAATAAACGGCGAGCAAAATTTCAACCCGATACCGCAAGAAATAATTAACTTATAGCGTCTCAACCACAAAATAATTTTTTCCGAAAATTGCACTCTTAACCAGGAAATGCTTGATTACAAAATTGGGAATTCTCAAAATAATTTTTTTTGGTGTGGAAACGGTGCGCTAGAAGGTCACTGAACTGCCTATGAGGTCATTTGGTCTGGACGGCACAAACCACTGTTTTGGGGTATGCCCCCTTAAGTTATGAATGGTTACCTTGTTAATACATTTTTTATCAGTACCTAATTAGTATCTAATTAGTAATTAGTACATGATAAGTACCTTATCATGTAAGTTCCGTGCCTTATTTTGTCTTTAAGTTTCACCCATTTCAATACTGTGTTCATCAGTTGTCCCGCCTGCTTGCTTGATAAGGAGATGAATATTTGTTTCAACACATATCCTTCTTACTCTCACCCACCAACCAACCAAAAGCAAAGCTGAGCTGAAAGTGATCATTATAAATGGCTCAACCTCGCCTTTAAGGATCAGAATAGCAGACAACTTTAATCTGGCAAAGTATGGTCTAAATGGGTCTGTAAAAGCTCACGGTTTCTACCGTATTAGACTATTTAATTTATCGCCAAAATATCGTGGTTTCATACACATTCCACGAGAAGCATCTGTGTATGAAAGTATGATGGAGCAATCAGCTATAGTATGGAGCAATCAGTTAGAATTGGGCCTCTTGATGAGAATCAAGCTGCAATCATTCTCAAAACAGTAGCATATTTACAGACACTTTCAGCACTATATACGAAATTTCGAGAACCATGTCAAAGTTTCACTATCCGGACTGGTTGTAACACAATTGTAACCCACATGCAAAGAAAATGAGCGCAAAATATAACTGACTACTGGCTCATAAAGTAATCTATAGATGTTTAAACCAATGTATCGTGAACACCCTGTAAACACCCTGTAGTCTGTACACACCCTGTAAACACCCTGTCATTATGCAAGTTTTCACTTTCTGGCTTGGTTACGGAGTTTAACTTAAAACCTGCTAAACGTGGCTTCAGTGCTTATTTATCAGTTGTTAGTTGATACGTTTATATTGCACTACTTTTGCGGATTGGTTACATCATGGGTAATGGGTAATGATACCAAGTCTTGAGCATATGGTATTAAATTTTAAACAGTTTAATTTCCAGTCGAAGTGAATGAAAAATCGTAGAATGATGTCAATAAACTGTTGCTACCTTACAAGACATTTTTGTGGCGGACCAATTTGCGACGACCGAAATTTTGGCGGTCCGAAAATATGGCGAAATTGAACAAAAACCGTCACATTTCGGACGTCACAGAAAATAAGGGTATTTTTCATCATTTTGTTTTCTGACACAAAGCTAAAGGAAATTCAAACTTTTCTAAAAATCGGTAAAATCATGTTGAAACAAAATGAAACTTATAAATCGATTTCTTCATCTTCCTCTAAGGGGTCCGGCTCGACTCTTTCAGTTTCACTTATTGAGTTTGGTATTAAATTGTTTATCTTGACTTGTACCTTCATTCACTGAAGGATTCCTTACCCCACTGCAAAAACCTGGTAAGCCACGTGGACCTTTAAAAAGTCTGCGCCCTCTTTGTCTTTTAAACGGCACCAGGAAGATACTGTCCATGATAGTCCTTAGACGCATTCAAAGACAAGTTTCTCAGTACACAGGACCTTGGCAAAATGCCTACAAGCCTGGCCATAGCTGTGCAAATATTGTTTGGACACAACGGATCCTAGTTTCAGTTGTGAAGGAGAAACGCTGGTCTCTACACAAAATGGGTATTGATGTCATCTGCATTCGACACCATTAAGAGATCAGTTTTGCTAGAACTTCTTGCTGATGCTGGTTGTAGTGAAAACGACATCCGACTGGTAAGGTACCTACTCTCATGTACCAAACTGAAGATTAAAGTGAGGTCTACCGTATCAGGGGAGTTCATTGTCACGATAGGTGCGTTCCAAGGTGATAGTTTGTCTGGAAACCTTTTCACCCTGTATTTGGCTGGCGCACTTTATCACCTTCGTGCCTTTATGTCTTATCTAAGACCCAACCCTCCGTTTGCTGAAAACCTGCTACCTCTTGAGTGGGAGTACGCAGACGACGCAGACTTCACAGACGAGGATAAAAAGAATTTGGAGTCCATGTTACCAATATGCAAGGAGATATTGGAGGAGTGGAATCTTTTTGTCAACGAATCAAATACAGAATTCACACATATCTATCTGGCCGAGAAGAACGAAGTTGATGACAAAGGAGAGCCACTTCGAGGAAGAGAGCCCTGGAGATCATCTATCTCACTTGGTTCCAAATTGTGCAGCAACGAGGACATAAAAAGACGATGTATTCTGGCAAATCTAGCTTTCCAAACCTACAAGAAAGTTTGGGAACAAGGTAAACGCATACCTCTTAAGACCAGACTTAAGATCTACGAAGCCCAGGTGGTCTCCGTCTTAATGTATAATTGTAGCTGCTGGGCTGCTTCAAAGCAGCTACTGAGTAAACTGGATATTTGCCACAGAAAGCATCTGAGGCAAATCATCAGAATGACTTACCCTAATATAATCAAAAACGACACCCTTTACAAGAGATGTGAAGTGGTTCCACTCAGTGAGCGTGTTGCATGTGCACGATGGAGGATGCTCGGACATGTCCTTCGCAGTGATAACAACTCACCTGCACAGCTTGCATTACACTTTGCAGTAGAGAGTCAGAGTACCAAAAAGGGTAGAGTAGGCAGACACCAGTCGAACTTGCTTAAGACTATTAAATTTGATTTAGGTAGTAGGAACATTCCATTTGTAAATACAGACGATTTGTACAATTTAAGACTTTTAGCCTCTGATAGAGCGGGATGGAAGAAGTTGTTATAGCTTGTGTATCAGTATTTCTTTTTTTCTGGCTACTTATCAGATCTTTAAGATGTTCATTTATGTTCTATTTTTGATTTGAATAAAGTTATATAATAAAGTTATATAATATCTTGACTTAGTCTCTTATAAGACGTTTATGTTAGCACATAAATGTAATTTATTGTAAATTTAAAACGTATTACTTGACATTAAATTCATCATGGAATATTGTGTTTATTTGTCCCACCATCATATCACTAACTTTTCAAGAACAAAATGAATCGATGAAGCCACAATTATTGGAATAAGCTAAAAATAATGCGACGGATTCTATTACGACGACCGAAATTTTGGCAGTCCGAAAATATGGCGAAATTTCGGGAAAACCGTCGCATTTCGTACGTTATAAAAATGTCTTGTAAGGTATATACTATTAAGGATCATTCTGTATGGCCCAATCCCTACGCCGGAGGGATCATCCCATTTATAAGGCAATTGAAATGGTGACGGAACCTCCTTGTGGATGTTAACAGTCAACATGGTTCTTCTTAACCAATACTGCGTATTTAGTCTCGGATAAATACTCAAACCTTTCCGGTCTTGGAGGTGTCTTAAGATTGGTCAGCTGAAAGCGCAGTTTATTACAAATGGAAACTATTAAAAATGCACCAGAGACTTGGGACCGACCCATTAGACAGTATATTTTAATAGCAGGAACCCGTTCAACCTTTCTTCATTTCTTCGTAGGAGGCTGTGGTCAGGATGACCACTATAAGATAGAGCATTGGAGCCCTGTGCTTACCACGGTAAAATATTTATAAGTGGAAAAAAGTTAAAACTTGATTGAACTTAAACGTACGCTTTCTATTTTTCAGAGTGTTCGCAATTTTTCGGCTGTGTTATGGTTATTAGTCTATTCAATGTTCAATGTTCATGGACTGCTTTGCACCTTCGTCGTTTTTACTTTGTTTGACAAAAATATTCGAGACAAAATAGCACATTTTACAATTTTTAGTATAAATGGTTGTCAATTAGGCACTCTAACAAATAACCATTAATATATTATATATATGAATCAAAAGTTGCCCCTTATAGATACAACCATTGTGATCATCTTGCACTTATGGATAATATTCCAGGACCTCCCTAAATAATATACCACATATCTGTTCTTGGCAGATGCCTGGATATGGCGAATTGCCGGTTGCTTAAGTCTAGTTATTACCTTATTTCAAACCGGTACAGCTCCTGATTGAGAACGGAAGCCAGACAAAGAACTGGAATAGGTCGAGAAAGACTCTGTCTGTAAATCCATTGAGAATCCAAGCAGCCGCAAAATAGAGCATAGCCTGGAGTTTCAGGGTGGTTCCTGGGACTGTGAAACACATTCCTGAATATCAACTTTTGTTACGAATTTATTCACAGATAGTGTTAAAAATTGCGATTCCTGGCCCTATACTGTTAACCGGTAGTACTGCATTCCGGAAGACTTTCATCTATCTTTAGACTTTTTTTTAATACTTTTATTTTTATACTCTTTAACTCAATAACTCATAAGTTTTCGTTTTAGCTTATTTAACATTAGTTACTTATATACAGTAGTACTTACATACAGTACAATACACATTTAGATGAACAGATTCAAATCTCTGCCCCTTAATCATTATGTTTACTAAAAAAGTAGCACACTTAATACTTTACATACGATTATCCTTGAGCATTATATATTAGGTGTTCAAACTTGGACAATATCATGAATTTAATTATAAATTGGCGAATAAGGAACAATTCTGCAAACTAGATAATTTCAATAAAAATAAGTTGAAGACAAGGAACACGTTTTTCCTTTATTATATTTATTATTTACTCAATAAAATTGACTAATCCACACCCATCGTACCGTGTTATTGATAAAATTTCAGTAAAAAACTGGCTGTCCAAAACTTTATCGTCCTCAAATTGCTTCGTGCTCTGACTAGACAAAAACAGTCTCGATCTTAAACGATTTAAGATAGGTTAAGACTAGGGTCTGAAATCAATAAAATGTAGATAGAAGATAAAGACTTAAACTGTTTTCTTAAATGTTTTCGGCCTCCTTAAGAGCAGTTTCATATGTTCATGTTACCCGCACGCCACATTATTGGCTGTCGATTCTCAAGAAATTACGAATTCCCTCGATAACGTTCTGTTTGGTCCGCCAGTAATTACCACGGTAACAGTTTAAGAATCTGACCTCATTGCGTTTCTACAGATTTTTGGGCCGCCAGCACGTGTGACAAATACTCCTCAGCTGCTCAGCACGTGACAAATGCTCCTCAGCACGTGACAAATGCTCCTCAGCACGTGACAAATGCTCCTCACTCAAATGCTCCTCACTCCTCAGCTGTTCAGTGCTGCATGCAAGTTCCTGATTTGCTGTCGGCGCATTGCTCCTGATTTGGATACCTTTAGCGCTGGTGGTTGGAATATGAACATTTTCTGAGAGTTAACAGCAGGACTACCACGTTTACTTGTATCTCCGACTGTCACCCTACCGTCACCCCCCTTACCAGCATCTCTTCTCCTCAGATAACTACACCTCTCCACATCTTCATATCTTTGTGCTGTTACGTGACGGAAGAAGTACAGCTGGGAATGTTTCTTGGTATTTTTAGCGGAGCTGGCAGATTCAGGGTCAATCTCCTTGACTGTCTGTGTCTCTTTGTTCAGGTACAGTGGTACATCGTTGGTCAGCCTCAGTTTTGTTGAGGAGGATTTCCACCGTGTTTTATTTTTCAAGCTCATAACTCGGGCCTCGCTGTAAGCTAACTGTTCGGGTGATCTGAATGTAAGTAATTTTTCACTGCACCCTTCCACTTTCCCTATCGCAACGTAGTCCGAAAGCTCTCCTTTTCTCACGTTCCCCCCATGCGTTTCAGACAGCAAGTCCCTCAATAAACTGATTCTCTCTGGTCGGAGACTGATAGTGGTAAGTGGTGCGCCAGGCTTCCTGGACAAGTCCACTTCTTTAGCTCGTTGTTTTCTGACGTTAAGCCTCCAATCATTCTTGGGTCTGTTCGCAAGGATCGGTAATGTCTCATACAGCTTGATAGGTCCCTCATGTCCTGCTTCGTTCCTGAAGTTTATTTGTGTTTAAAATCCCTCCGCAAATATAATTGGTTTGGCGACAGTTAATTTTGTAGATTCCATGGATGTCACTGCAAGTCAGGAACCATTTACCATTAAATGGTCGAATGTCATTTTGTGGAATCATATTTTTACCCGGCTGTTCGAGAGAGAATTGGAAATCCTTGCCATCGATCAAGTGCCTTCTGAAGTTTCTCACGATCACCCAACATGATACTATCCGCATGTTGCTGCCTCCTTTGCATCATATCTACACCCACAATGGTTCCTAAATATAATTTTTAGCAATTATCATGGAGAGTTAGCCAGAAACGTAAACGTTTTGATATTTTGAGTTCAAAATTAAAAGGGCGACCCCTAAAGCTAACATGTGCATATGTTCAACAAATGTTAGGGAGTCTATATTGAGTAACCAAAACAACAAAACCAGCTAAACCAACTGCGATATAACCGCAGACTGAGCCATTTAAACTTGTGACCTGTAATTGGCAATTAGCGATCCACTTACTAACTTATCAACATGAACGGGGAAGCATTGTAGCAGCATTGTATTTGTTGTCATGGTGAACAAGTGGACTTCACGCTGTGTTTCAGTGTAAGTTTAACTTATTTACTACCAAGTTTAAATGCAAATCTCACAGCACTGATTCTCTAAGAAGTCTGATCATTTCTGACTTCAGGAAGTGGACCATATTATTTCGAGCGTGGGATATTAACATCATAAACTGCAGACGTAGATAATTATCGGGTCTTTAAACGGCGCCTGCATGTTTGACATGTACCGCTCATATTTTGAAGTATAACTCTTACCTAGTATGTTGTAATGGACTGCACGCAAAACTTAATATCACAGTTATACTTCCTTCACATTTATCGGACCTAGTTTATTCTTGCAGTTCATAAAACTTAACATTTCAGTCATATAGAGATTAGGAGTTATTAAGTATTTTGTGCTTTTTTAAACATTAATTTTGTATCTATAATAATATATATATTTGAAGTAAACATTGGCCAGTAAGCAAAGCTTGTCCCCAATCAATCAGTTACATCCTCACAAATATTCCTCTACTCAGCACACATTGCATCATTTTATTCCTCAGAACTGTGTAATAAAACAGAGAGCTGCACCATTGTTAAAGAAGCAGTAGCTCTTGCCCTTTATCCAGGGTATAATATATCCGGGGCCCGGGCTGTTAGTGGCCGGTCATGTTGTAATGGTATTGGACATTGGTACGTGCACAATTAACTCACGTGGAGAGTGAACCTCAACACTTGAGATGTTAACAGCATTGTTTGTGAGTGGCTAGGTGTCCCAATGAGGATGTAGGCATATGTCTCTCACCTTTAACGACTTCCTGTCCTTAATGGCGCTTATGGTATGGATGCTCTACGCGGTAAAGTACCCATTAGAGCATTAGGCATAAGTTTTAACATTTACTTTCTTGCTCTCACGGCTCGTGGGCCAAGGACAGGTTAATTGAGCACGGTTCAGAAGGTTCCGTGGGTTGTTCCTCTGTTGTTTCCAGTTTTTAGGGCGGATGTCATGGGTGATTATAACTGTCACGTTTAGCAATTTCTCAATTTATCGCTTCTAAATTCTAATATGTCACAACGAGTGGAGTATAAAACAAAAAGCAAAAGTGTCAAAAGCGTGACGTTATACGACGTACATGTGCTTGAGGTGGAGGAGCTGTGTTGCGCCCCCCCCCCCCCCCCCCTCTGTGTAGATGCCGGCTTGAGGAGGAGCTGTGTTGCCCCCCCTCTGTGTAGATGCCGGCTTGAGGAGGAGCTGTGTTGCCCCCCCCCCCCCCCCCCCCTGTGTAGGTGCCGGCTCGAGGAGGAGCTGTGTTGCCCCCCCCCCCTGTGTAGGTGCCGGCTTGAGGAGGAGCTGTGTTGCCCCATCCCCCCTCTGTGTAGGTGCCCCCCCCCCCTCACCCCTTGACTCTTGAGTGTGGTTGCCGGCTTGAGGAGGAGGAGGTGGTGTGTGGGGGGGGGGGGGGGTCCAAGGGGAACTTTGGGGAACTTTGGGAAAGTCCCCCAAGATTTCTGAAGTTCCCCAAAAAAAAGTTCCCCAAAACTCCCCAAAGTTCCCCAAAATTCCCCAAAATTATTCAAAATTATTCAAAATTATTCAAAATTTCTCTAATATACATTAATACCCATTAATGTTAACATGTATGTTATTATAAGGTATAATCTTAACATACTTGTTGATACTTGCAGCATGATAATTTTCTTGGCATGATTATTTTTTTGGGGAACTTTGGGGAATTTTGGGGAATTTTGGGGAACTTTCTGAAGTTCCCCAAAAAAAGTTCCCCAAAATTCCCCAAAATTATTTGTTTCATTGATAATTTTTTGGGGAACTTTGGGAAAGTCCCCCAGGTTTCCTGAAGTTCCCCAAAAAAAAGTTCCCCAAAACTCCCCAAAGTTCCCCTTGGACCCCCCCCTGTGTGTTGCCCCCATCCCCCCAAATCTGGATGTAAACATGTTCTTAGTATATACAATATACATGGTCTTGTGGTAGACCATCACACTCTGGACTGCAATCCTCACGCCAGCGGGTTCGCTTCAACTATCACTGAACATTCTGATAAATGCAAATGATAGCTCTTTAGAATCAAATCTGATACGCTTGATTATAGGCCGAGGCCCGAGGCGCTTAAGTGATTTATCGTAATGGTCGCTGCTAGCGATTGCATTTGGTTCTTAGTTATAAACCTGGTCATTGGGCAGGCTTACATCTTCGTTTACTGGCCTTTCTTGATTATGGTACTATTAGATGCTTATTAAATTGTCGAAATAATCATACTTTAGCACCATAGTCCGTACCATTATACATAATATGTATAATCAGGTCTCAGACACAATCTTGCAAACCTCTTAGAGTATAACTGATTGACAGCTCTGATGTTTATTCCGTCCTTAAAACTTAAAACTGAACTATTTGGGCTGTACAATACGAGCTACACCAGTAGAACCTTGTATTGAGTGAAAGTCTCCACTCCCCTCTGCTTTTCTGGCATATCAATACACTGTTTCCTACCCAAATCAATACATCTGTTTCCTTCTTAACACACATGCAT